AGAGATGAAATATCAGAAATTGATGGGTTGTTATTCAAAGCACAGAAGCTTATTGTTCCTCAGAGTAAGAGAAAATAAATGTTAAAGCTCATCCACGTGTCACACGAAGGCATAGTAAAATGTAAGCAGCGTGGCCGAGACATTCTCTTCCGGCCAGGGATGTCATCCCAAACTGAAGAGAAAGTGTCACAGTGTTCCTTGTGCGCTCAGTTCCAGAGAATGTGGAATGTGGTCGAATGTGGAATGTGGTCGAAAGTTGGAACTGACCTGTTTGAGTATAATGGAGGTCATCACCTGCTGTGTGTAGATTACTATTCAAAGTGGATTGAAGTTGCTAAGCTAGACAACTTAACCAGCGGCAATATCATCTGTCACCTGAAGAGTCAATTTGTTCGGTATGGGATACCTGATGAGCTTCTCAGTGACAATGGGCCTCAATATGCTAGTTCAGCATCTACTGATTTCAGAAAGAGCTATGGTTTTGTCCATACCACATCAAGTCCTCACTTCCCTCAAACAAATGGTGAAGCTGAAAGGGCAGTTCAGACCATCAAGAATCTCCTCAAAAAAGCACAAAATCCTTACCAGGGACTGCTGAACTATAGAAATACTCCTTTGGATGGTATAAACCTTTCACCTGCTCAGCTGCTCATGGATCGAAGATTAAAATCTTCCCAACCAACAAAGGTTGATTTGCTTAAACCCCAACATCACAAGAAATTCAACAGCACTTTCAAAAGATTGTGATTGGAGCAGCTGCCGTGCAGAAAGATTTTTGGAGCTCTCTGTTTCAACTTTGCTCTAGATGAGATCGGCTAGATTAGTCGCGTGGCTCATTCGTGTTTTCCACAGACTTACGCATCCAAAATTACGGGCTGAAAGAAGCAAAAGTTCAAAGATAGAGTTGAAGCTCAGTCCTACCCCTTTATCAGTATCCGAAGTGACTGAAGCAGAGAAGAGAATTGTGAAGTTTGTACAGAGACAGTCATTTCATACAGACATTGACAAGTCAGTGATAACAGGTCGACTTAAACCGTTTAAAGAAGAAGGAATATTACGTGTCGAAGGAAGATTGAAGTATTCATATCTACAATAAGATGCTAAGTACTCAATGATACTGCTAGGAAAGCACCCAGTTACTGAGTTGATAATCCGTCATTATCACCATCACAATAGACAAGTAGGAGTCTATCAAGTCTCTAAATAAGACAACGGTTTTGGATTGTCAAAGGAGTTTCTTCAGTGAAGTGTGTTCTCGGCAAGTGTCACTTTTGCAGGCGTTATAATGCCATTAGAAGAGCAAGTGACTGCACAACTTCCAATGGTTGGAAGTCTCTTCTGACAGTCATAGGACCATTTATCCGTTTGCTGCAGTAGGATTAGACTATTTTGGACCGCTTTATGCAAGGAGTGGGCCCAAAACAAGGTCGAGGAAGAGTACCACCCTAAACAAGCGTTATGGATGCATATTTACTTGCCTAAGGTACCGGGCAGTTCACATTGAAGTTGCCGAAGACCTGTATACAGATAGCTTCATTAACGCAGTTTTGCGCTCTCCTTGGTAGACGAGGTCCCCCATGAGTTATTTACAGTGATAAAGGTATTAATTTCAGAGGAGCCGAGTTGGACGTTGTCAGGGCTTTGAGAGTGTGGGATCAAGAGAGGATCCAAGCCACCTTGACTAAGAAAGGAATTGAATGGAAGTTCAATCCACCAGCAGCGAGCCACCGATGGGGAGTGTGGGAAAGACTAATATGCTTGATCAGAGGAATCTTGCACTCGTTAATTGAAGAACGACTTCTAAACGATGAAGCCTTGCAGACGTCTTTGGCAGAATTTGAGAAAATCCTGAATGACAGACCGATAACTTCGGTGTCGAGTGACCTGCAAGACTTCGAAGCGCTTACACCGAACCATATTCTTCTGTTACTTAGAAACGCGTCCGTTTGTCCAGATGTGTTTGAAGAGTCAGACAAGTTCAAAGAAAGATGGAAACGTGTTCATCTTCTCGCAAACGAACTTTGGTGCAGATGGACGAAAGAGTACTTGTCGACACTTCAGGAGCTACAGAAATGGTTATGTCCGAAGCCTAACTTCGGAGTTGGTAATTTGGTTTTGATGGCGGACAGAAACACGCCTCTTGGGCATTGGCCTAAAGCTTTGGTGGAACAGACCTTCCCAGACAGTGAAGAGATAGTGTGCCAAGTAATCGTTCGAACAGCAGAAGGGGTATACCACAAGGACATTAGAAAGCTTCTTTTGTTAGAAAAGAAGTTGCTGAGCCGCGTTGAAGAGCAAGACAATTCCGTAAATAGCAATTGCGTTAAGTTTAGAAAGACTTCCTTGTCGTTTTTCGGGAGGGAGCGTGTAGGATTCGTCGCGTTTACATACAGTTTATAGCGCCGCTGACAATATAGTTAGGCCGCAGTTTCCTACGCCGTGTGCGTTGCTTGAGCGTTACTTACATTTTTTTTTGCCGTTTTGGCCGAGTTAGTTTTAGCGAAGGATTTTAGGCTGTGTAACAAACAAAAACGTCGAATCGTCGCCGGATAGATCCTTATTTGTTGTTCGTTTTTGATCATCCTGTACAAGAATACAAGGAATCTGACGTATAGAAGCTGCTGTGTCTTATTTATTTTGCCAAGCGTAGCTGGCCCCCACATAGACACAGCTGTAATCTGTAATCACAGCTGTAATCTGTTACATAGGTCGACCCACTTTTTTTTTTGTCAGCTCAGCTGGTGGAGCAGTTGATACCGATATTGCGAAGTCTGAGGTTTGAATCTTCACGTAGATCGACCCAAAAATTTGCCTTCTACTCTGCTATAAGGTTTTGTAGTGATTTTGACTATTATGAGGTTTGAATCCTCAAGAATGTCCACCCAAATTTCTTCGTCTACCCAGCTGGTAAAGCAGATGCGGAAGTTTTATGGTCTAAGGTTTGAATCCTTATGTCAGGAGAAAAGAGAAATGCAATCCCCGCTTAAATACAGACACAGTCCTCTGGGATCGCCTTGTATGGGCTGACTGCTTGAGGTTCGAATCCTCACAAGGGACTTAGATTGTAATATTTTTTCTTTTACCATCCTATATATGGTACCTTTTGATTTCTGTCATCCAACTTGTCGCGGGAGAAAGAAATGTCCTTTACAGAAACACAATCCTTGAGCTGAAAAACAAGCGAGAGTGGTTTAAGGTAATGACTTGAGTTTATACACCTACACGTAAAATTGAAATCTCTTTAATTCCTTCTCTTTCCGTTCTACATAACTTAATAATAGACTTCCAAAAATGGGGGTGCTCATTGAGAAATAAACATATGAATAAATTTCTAGGAATTGAAAAGAGAGGGGAATCACTTTTACAGGAGAGCTGCACATTAACTTGATATCAGTCAATATATCGATCAATTCGAAACTTTAACATCCTCTCCAGGCATTTGACCGTCGTCTGTTTCCGGAGGTTGAGAAATTTTTACCTTGCCTGGCGGGAGTGAAGGATTTTTACCCGAAGAGTCAAGTCTTTTCCATTTGAACCTTAAGTGTCAACTCTTTCCATCGGAATTCAATTGTTATATTTTTTAAATCTGAAGCTGTGTAAAGATAAAAAATTTACCATCGCGAACTAATGGCTCAGAAGAAATGGTCTACAAGGTTTAGATTTTAAAGCTTAGTCAATGAGTAGGATGTCACGGACGCTGATTTTTCTTTTTCCAAAAAAAATTGACAATCCAATACGGAACTTGGGTGGAACATTTGAACACAT